CTTAGAGAGTGATTTGGCATGCTAAAATGAACTTCTGCAAGAAGAAAAAACTGGCACAGATTCCCCACCTTTGACCCACATGCACAATTAATATAAGTCCTGCCCATTACCTCTTGTTCCACAAACAACCAAGCTCAACAGTTAGATAGTGAAGACAGCTAAGACTCCTTGTTCCAGAAGGCTGTGAAGACAGAGACTCCATCAGGCAACCATTTGCTAGCTCCTAAGCAATCTTTGCTGCTAGTTGGTGTGTTTGAGGGAGTGACAGATGAAAGCTAAAGCTCAGGACATCCTTAAATCTATGACAGGTGATAACTGAAATGGTAAGATGGGATGGATCACTCTATACCTGTCCTGTGATTATAACCTTCCCCTAAATCATCTGCTGTTTGCCAGGGACAGACTACTGTGTTAGATGGACATTTACTCTCGTTTGTAAATGTTGCCTGAAGCCCTGTGGTGTGAAGCCACAGAGAGTGGAGACAGAGGGAGCCTGCCCTGTGGGGACTGCAGCTGGAAAGGATGGAGTGGTGGAACAGAGGCAATCTGCTGAGGGCCTGCAGAGAAGACGAAACCTCTGAGGATAAGGGGGAGTTTAGCAACAGAGATGGTGATAATTCCTGTCTGTCACTCAGCCAGGGACTGTGAAGTAAGCACTGGCTGGGCTCGAGAGTAAAGTGCTAGATGGTTGTGGGCTTTGAACTTTTATTTTTATGCTCTGTTTTTCCCTAGTTCTATTGTAGTGTTTTTGCCTAATTATTAAAGTTGGTCTTTTTATCATTACTGTTATTCCTAAATTTGTCTATCATTTAACTGGGTATGTCCCCTCAGGGTGAGTTTACGCCTTCAATGCCTTGGCCGACTCGCAGTCCCATCACACATTCCTTCTCAGTGCATGGTGTTGCCAATGGTTTGTGCCAGGACAGACTTTACACTATTTCAATCTATTTGTCAGTTCTTCAGATAACCTTGCACAGTGGGAAGCAAATCGTGATCAGGCAGTGCCTGTTCCAGGAAGGGATACTGCATGTCACTCAGTTGCAATATGCTTTGGGGATTAATTGGTGCAGAGGGGTTCTTCTCATGTTACTTGTGCTTTGTTGCCACCCCCCCCCCCCCCCCAAAAAACCCCCCCAGCATGTACCAAGAGTGCACTGCAAAGTCTAGTGTTGTCTTGCCAGCTCCTAGGCATTCCTATTCATTGGACTCATGCTTGCGTGACAACTTTATCTGTTCTGAATGCAGATTTAGTGCTAGGATTCATGTTCTTTACTCATGCCTGCCTGCCAGCCTCCCATCTCCAAAGCACCCTAGAGATTTACAATGCATAATGTTGAGCAAAACATGTTTGTATTAATCTTTAAAAATGAGAGACTTGACTCGTTTTCTTTATTAAAAAAAAAAGATAATAAAATAAACCTACTTCATTAAACCTTTGTGAACCCAAGTCCTTGTCCAGAATCTGTAAAATCTCCCTAGGTCATGAGAAGAGTACTAATGTATTTAAATTTCAGGACCTTTTAAAATAAGACCTACCTTCATAATTTTTACCTCCCTTTGTAATGAAAATGGGACCAGAGGGAAGGATTTCTGCATTAGATGAATTAATAATAAAAAGAGCAAAAGATCAGGGGTAATTGGATTTAATTCACTTCTAATCAACTCTTTTTGGAAAATGCACAAGGAGAAGTGGTCCATGAATAGTTGAACTCTTGTCCCACAAGCCAAGGTATGAATTTATACAAGGATATTAGGGGACAGATTGGTAGTTGCACTGGAGACGGTACAGAAGGGGAGTATGGAAAGCTGAACCTAGCGGCAGGACTCATGGGGCATGTCCAACAAGCATGTGCATGCATTTCCCTGGGAACAAATAGCAGTGGCACATAGTTGTGCCACTGCTACTTGTTTCTGGGAAAAGCCCCTGCACGCATGCCCTGGCATGTGGCAATTTGCCCAGGTGGGATAAGGGAGGTTGGAGCCAGCACCTGGGCTGGCCCCAGCAGCCTTACCTGGGGTTCTGGGGGCCTCCCAAGGCTGCAGTATTGGTGATCTGGGTGTGCAGAACCTAGCCAGCAGCTGGAGCGTGGCTCTGGCCAGCCAGGCTCCAGTTTGGGGGATTTGGCTTGGTGTCAGAACTGTCTCCTGGGCAGTAGAGTTCAGGGGCTGGAAAGTCTGTCCACACAGAACAGGAAGGTAGGGAAGAAGACACTGCATCTGTTTATCTGTGGAGAGTGGCCACACATTAATGGAACACGAACTCAGTAACATGGATTAGAGATAAACCTGCCTTGAAGTGGCGTATGTTTAAGCCACCTAAAGTGTACTTAATGCTAGTTTCAGGTGTTAATGAGCAGACAAACTAGGGGTTAAGAGCTTCAGCAACCACCTAAAATTAATGTGTAACAAGGCCTAAATTACTACTTCCATCTCCCAGAGACTCTTACACACCTGGAATCATGGAACATAAATGACTTCAAACATTGCAAAAGTCAAGATTAGGGACTCAATTTGCATGATCAACCTGGTAAATTGGTCCCATCTCAAACAGTGCTGCTAAGTCTTGTCTTGTTTATGAGGATCATTCCAAATTGCTATTACCCACTTATGTAGAAGATGTGCTTCGAGGGTGTCCAGCTGTGGACTGGTCCTGTGCCCATCCTAGCTTGTAAAAGCCAGCCAGGGGAGACTAGGTCTACTGCTGGCAGGGGTTGTCAACACCTCCCTTTGGGAGGGCCGGGAACCAAATACTTTTAAGTTCACAGTTGCCTGGCCCTAGCTCAGGAGCCCTCATTTGATGCTGACTCCTTATACAGTTATCACCCTTGTCTCACAGCAGCCACATGCGCCACCTCATTTTTTTAAACCATTTTTTTTAGATACCAGGATTTCACAGTATCTGATTTTTGCTCTGTGCTGAAAATATGCAGCACTGAGAACCTTTTCACATGTCATGTGTGTTTTGCAGCATCTCAAAAGCCTTTGAGGTGCCATAAGTGCATTTGCATGCTTATCTGGACATGCCCATGGGGTCTGTACTGGGTGGACTGAAGGGCTGAGAAAACTTATGGAACATGACTGATTATTATTTTAAAATTGCTTCTCCCTCCCCTTTGTTGTGGTCAGAGGCTTTTCTTTTAGAAACTTCTCCACTGTAGCAGCACCAGGAGGGGAAAAGGCACTTCCCTCTGCTGGAACCTAGCTCTTGTGGGGTGGTGGGAGTGGAGGGAGGTGAGCTGCGAGGGGCCCCCAATCCTCTTCTTGTCCAGGGCCTGAAAAAGTCGTAATCCACCTCTGCATCTATAGCTGTTTTGCTGAATGCAGAGGGTGTACAGTCCTGTTAATATTTTTGTAACCTTTTTTTAAAGTGCCACAGTCTGACGGGTAGGGGTGTGTGAAATGGGCCATATTCTATTCTGATTTGGATACGGCCTGAATCAGGGACAGTAATTCAATTCAATTCGTTGATTTGGATCACTGTCCCCAACTCAATTCAGCTGAATCCGAATCTGAAGATTTGATTCTGATTTGGAGAATCAGTGATTGGGCCATAGACATAGCTTTAAACGTTTTTCTATATACCTTGAGGTACCAGGCATGGCTCATGAATGCTACAATGGTGGGGTGGATGGAGTGTCCCACAGGAGTGTGTGGGGGGCCCCCGCATGCTCGATGCTTCCAGTCCACTTCCACGCCCGCTGCCGAGTGCACAGAGGCTCCCCCCCTCACACTCCCCCCCCCGGCTCAGCAGTTGGCCGTGGGGGGACCCCAGGTGCCCCCCCCCGACCCAGGAGGCACCAGTCACCGAGCTGGGAGGGCATGGGGGGACCCCCCAGCATGAACCCTGGCAGACCTGGAAGTGGACTGGAAGTGTTTCTGGTCCACTTCCAGGTTTGCTGCCAAGTTTCTGGTCATTCTGATCATCTGTGCCCCTAGTCTTGCTTCTTTTCCAGCAAAGAAAACAATTTCCCTGTTTAAAACATGCAACTGAATTTTGGGGGGCTGGTTTTGGGAGAGAATGTGCATGTAGTATGTTAGTAAATATAGTATTCTTCCCCATTACAAGATAATTTCCATTACAAGAGTTTTCTAGTGCAGTGTTTGGTATCTAGTGCACATGTAGCACAGTGGCACTGCAGGTAGGTCACAAGGGTACCTGTAGAGTGTGATGGGGGGACTGGGGGGGATGCAGTAGCTTCTCCCTGAATGTTTCACAGTGCCAGTCAGCATTTGGATGGATGCATGCTGGCTTCTGAAAAGGAAACAGCAGGAACACCTTAATGCACTGCTGCTGGTGCACTAAATAACTCTGCTGAGCGTGAGGTAATTGGCAGCCAGAAAAGTTTATTCTCCCAGTTACATCTGTGATGGAGCCGTGAGGGGTAAGGTGCCTGTACCGTGGTTTGCATCCATCTGAGGGATCCAGTGGCAGGTGGTGGTTGAAGGTGTAAGGATACTGGCCTTTTAAATGGCTGACACGAATGTACCTATGTTAGTTAGAGAGAGCTGTCTGTTGGCTGATATTTGAGTGATTAACTTTTTCAGACATCAGCAGAGCTGCTAAGCCTTTGTCACAATGAAGAGGAGCACAGCTTATTAGAAAAGAGGTTGTTCAAATAATACTGTACTTGTTGGGAGATTTTTCTCCGCTTGTAGCCTGAAGCAGAGCAGTACTATGACTCTGGGCACCTGTTAAAGCACTGTTTTCTAGTTCTGTTGTCCTCAAGGGATGAGTTCCTAATCAAGTGCCTATAAAAGATTTTACATTCCCTTTCTGCTTGTTGTCACAAAGGTAAGAAAAAAATTGGATTTATTAAGCAAAAACTAACAGAACAAATGCACGCAGCTATTGTTTCCTATGCGTGATGCGATAGATATGATTGGCTTATCAGAAAAATTCTGAGGTGGTGACATGAAGGAACTGAACATATCTTGTTTGTAGTTGACTTACACTGCAGCAAAAGTACAGTAGAAATTAATGGTTATATTATTATTTTCAGACGGGATATTTCCACCTGCCACATGAGGACTACTTCATTGAGCCTGTTCAAAAGTATCCAGTGACAGAAGGAACACCTCACCTACACATCATCTATAGAGCACATGTCCCTCAAAATGCTGAAAGGCAGCGACGGGAGCCCGTATTGGGAAAGGAAGGAGCTTGTGGATTGAACGGTATGACTTTTGACAAAGCTTTCTCCTTGTTTGTTTTCTGCATTTTTTAATAACCTTGGTTCCCAAATCTTTACCCCTTCATTTTCAAATGTCAGGTCTTTATAAGTATAGAAGTTGAGTATTAGAAGTATGAGGCATTCACCAGAGACATACTGAGGCAGGACAGTTTTGTGGCCCTGGGTTTCTGGTGCGTTTCATGTAATTTCAACATTACCTCCATTTAAAGGTTAAAGCTTGTGAGTATCACTGATACATTCTGAATGGAGACCTGATATCTTCATGCCAAGTGGAAGAAAATCAACCCAGCAGGTAGAGAACCACCCACTCGGAATTCCCTATAGCACCGGTGCTCAACATCTGCCCACTGGGCCAGATGAGTGGCTTAGGGCCAGTCCACGGTCTGATCAGACCCCATGTGCCAGGATTGGGCCTACACACCCCAACTGGGAATACCTAGCCTTGGCTGTCCCCTCCATGCTGGGCTTGGGTTCTGAGGCCCCACACCAGCCCTGCATGCTGGGATTGGGCCCTACACACCTGACTTAGCATGCAGGGCCATGGTTCTTGGGAAGCTCCACAGGATGGTACCATGGCAGGGGCCAGAACTGGCCTGCAGGCCTTGGGTTGAGTACCCCCTCCCTGTAACAGTGTGATTATGGTGAGTTCAGATCCTCTCTGAAAGAGTTGGTATTGAACCGCATTCCCATTCAGGGTTACTATCCTAACCACTGAGACGCTGGGTAAAAGGAGAGTAGGTGGTGGTATCACTTTCTCCATTTTGTGAATCTAGTCAGTAAGCAAATATTACGTGAATTTGAGTGGAATAGCTCTGAAATAATTAAACTGTTGAATATTTATTCACCAAACCCTGTCCTCCCACCAATCCTAAATATTGTTTTGATTGAGTCTCAGAATTTCTTATTTCCACATGACTGTTACAAGTGAGGCATGTAGATTTAGATGGTCTGGTATTAAAAACCTCCTTAATTTACTGTTGTATCTGAAGTGAAAAAAAATTGAGAGATTACTTGTGATGAAGTGAATTTATTAAAAACAATTTAGATGACATTAAGTGTTGCTACATAAATATGATCCTCTGTAGTATAATCCTTATTTGTTAGCAGTCCCTGGAAAACAGGAATGTATCTGTAAGGTGCTGTTGCTCTTTCTAAATTACAATATTTAATACTTTGTTGATTAGGATGTTGACTGTTCTCCTTGAACCTCTTCCATAATGTCTTAACCTTGGAGCATTTACATCTAACCTGAATAAAACATTAGTGAAGGTATGGTAGGAGAAAGCCCTTCAGAGACCAGGACTGAACAAATGACCTAACACAAAGTTAATCACAAATTGTATGCAATATTCAGGTTGAGTTCATGTTCCAAATTATACTGGTTAAAAAAAAAAAAAGGTTAATTCTTTTCTAAGAATGAAAATTTGTTGTTGATGGGGCTCCTGACTTTCTGTGCCACAATTGCTGCTGAAGTTTTAATTGTATTTAATGATTATTGCAGAGTCAAAGGAACAGATAACCTCGCTCCCTTTTATCTCAAGCCCCCACACATGCTGTAGCTGTAAACCTTCAGTAATCTTTACTATTTTCCAACACAAGTTCTCAGGACTGAAATGTGTACCAGTTCACCTGCTGGGACCAAACCTGGAGGTTTCTGGCTATAGGGTCTTGCCTCTCCACTCAGGGTCTAACTGATCTATTTGGGGTGAGAAAAGAATTTCACCCCATGGTCAGACTGATATGGATGGTGGGGGGGTTTGCCTTCCTCTGTAGTGGGGGAGGGACGTGGTCCTTTACCTGGGCTCTCTTACACATATCCTGACAGCATTTCACAGAAGCTTCTGTAGATTTTAGATTATGGTTTGTAGAGGATGGTTTGGATAGGAATGATCCTGCCTAAGGCGGGGGGCTGGATAAGATGGCCTCTGGAAGTCCCTTCCAGCCCTACTTCTCTGTGATTATGTGAATTGGCTGGTATGTTGAAAGCTGAAGATTTTTGAGAGCAAGTACCAAAAGCTTAGGGATAATGGGTTGGAGCATATGTGAGGCAGCATAATTGTTGATCACTTACAAATATGAATGTTGTTGTATATTATGTGTGAATGTATAAGAATTTATTTAGTTCACTGGATAGAAAACTAAACCTAACAATGGCAAGCAGTCAGTAAAAACGTGATGTTGGCTGCACTGATGTAAACTGCAGACGTATGCTCTGGGAATCCCACTTTCCATTTATCAGGCTGCTGCCCCCAGCTCAGGGTGTTCATCTGCAAGTGGGGGACCTCCAAAGGAACAAAGGCCACAGCAACATCTATTCTATATTCTACGACATCTGCTGCCAACTATTCTATGTTCTGTTGTTCATGGATCCCTTTCTATATATTCATTGAATGATTTCCCTCTCCCTGCATCTTAACAACAAGGCAAGAAAAAAATACACGAGTCTCTTCCAACCATCTTACCCTAATTCCTAATTTAAAGCTTGCTGTGCCAGAAGGTTTGGGTCTCAAAAACATCTCTTGAAAAGTGTCCTCTTTCTGCGAATGCTTCCTGATTGGCCAAACATCACAACCTTCTTCGTAATACCAGTGCCCTGTATCTTCACTATCTTGTCACACCAAAATCAGCACCAATTAACGGCTGGAAGCCTCTTTCACATCCTCAGCTGGAAGGCTTCTGTTTTGGTTACAATATACAGCCCCCAAAGATCTCGCAAACTCTGAACAATCAGGTAAGTGACAAACAAATATTCACTTACAAGGAAAGGGAATTCGTTTTTTTTCTCACCAAGGACAAATCCCACACAGATTCTTTTGTTTTCTGGCCTTGCTGGTTGCTTAAAAATACTGTCTTCAGAGAAGGGTTTGAATGTGTGCCCTAGAGGACTCTGCAGGGTTGCTCATCACTTCCTCTTCCTGCTTCTAGGTGTCTCTGTGATTTGTAGTCCACAGTTGTAGCCAATAGTAAGTTTGAGCAGGACAAGGGCCCCCTACATGACCCCAGACCCCAGCTATAGTTTGCTGGGGGGCAGTCCCTCCCCCCATCTCTTGCAGACTGGGCTGCATCCCCAGCCGGGCTTTCCCCTCCCACCTGCTTATTAGCCAGTTCTCACTGCCCCAGCTACAGAGTAGAGGGGCAGGGCCAGCACTGCTCGCTGGAGCGGATAGCCCAGCCCAACCCAGCCCAGCTCAGGGCTGGAAAGCATGCTGGGGACTATGATTTAACTTGAACCAGGAAGGGGTCTGGGACAGAAGTTTCATAAACCTGTTTGACCCAAATCAGTTAAGTCTGATACTGCATTCAACCAGGTTTACCTCAAACTGGTTTCAGCCATTTTCAAACTAGTTTAGGTGCACTGAATGTCTGTTCTGTTACAGGTTGAAACCAGTTTCTGGTCACTTAAACCAGTTTGTGTGCAACTTCTGTCCTTAGCCAAGGGGGATAAAGTAAGGTTGAAATGAAGACTAATTCTTGCACTACTGACCTCTTGGGTGCTTACTTTGCAACTTCTTTAATAATGTTCTTTTAATGCAGCTTTTTGGAGTAATATGCTATGCTTTGATATTTTAGTATGTTGCTGAAAATCATTTCACAGCCACTTTCCATCAAGGTTAATTTTACATCAAAAGAGGACTTAGGAATGGAATTGCATTCTGAGTTCAGTATCATATAATGCAAGGGGCCTGATGTCATCAGGTCTTTTCGGTTCTGTTCCAGTGGATGGAATGGACATTTGAGGGGGTATTTGTTTATATTGCTCTGTCCAAAACTGTTCTGCAAAGTAGTTTGACTCTGAGTTGGACTTGAGCCATCACTACTTGAGGCAGGGGGAAATAGGGAATCATTCTTTTACTAAGCTTTACAGTCTCCTTTCCATCAGGTTCTTACTGAATTTAATCACTTTGAGGATTCACTAGTATCAGCTATTTCTAAAAACTGTGGAAATGTGGATTGTTTTCTCTATTTGTGGTTTTGTGTGTTGGGTCTTTTGCTTGCTTGTTGCAATGGAAGATTACTTAACAGGCGCCTATGGTTTACAGAACTCAAATTGGTCTACAGTAAAAATGAAGCCTCTCAAAAGAAAATGTAATCATTGTTAAGAAGAGGAAGTGAGATCAGATCGTGCAGTTGCCCACATCAAGGACCTGGTCTGTAATATTTTGGTATACCCAAGATACTTTCAACTCATTCCTACCTATACACATTTGGGGCAGAAATAATCATTGAGAAATTTGTGTGTAGAGAGAAACACTTGTACTGAGCTCAACCTCTTTCATGTAGTAAGTTGAGGGAGTGAGACATTTCTAAAAAAATGCTTTAAAAATAATCACAAGTTATCCACATTATTTTGGGGGATTTCTCTTCTTACAGTCAAAATTATTTATGGGATTTTTTTAGATTAATTTAATATGGAAGGATATGCAAATTATATAAAACAAGCTATAACTGGGTTTTCTTATTGTGATATCTGTAATTTTCTAGGCAAGGACTACTAGCAGCAGTGAACAATGCAATTAAATCAATATTTGTTAATCTAGGGCCCTCTTGTTCAAAATATCGTTTCTTTTTGGACAATGAATTTGCTACTGCCCAAGGGGTCTTTCTTACCAAGAATTCCAAACAGTGGAATACCTGATGGTTAAAGCTGATTCAGAGTTTGAATATCTAGTCTGTGGGAAATTTGGGAAGGGGGAGATCTTCCATTTTGGAATAAAAAGTAGAAATTTTGAAGTTCCTGACTGAAGGAATAATCAGGAAAAAAAAATTGAAATCAAAGTCTTTATTTCACATTCTGGTTCCAACAAAGTAAACTTTTAGTAACAAAAACCTGTTTCATTGGAGAACTGCCCAACATTTTTTCTGGTAAGGTACTTGAAATTACTTGGGGAAGGGAGGGAAAGTCATCTGACAAGGGGCTAGAACTGTTAAATGTCTATAAGTCTCCCTTTTAGAAATACCAGAAAGTAGACCAGAATGAGAATC